GTTCTTCAGCCATACTAGTTCACATGTGGTATGGACCATAGCCCTGTACTCTGCTTCTGCACTACTTCTTGCCACCACTATTTGTTTCTTGCTCTTCCAAGTTACAAGATTGCCACCGAGGAAGGTACAATACCCTGTAGTTGATCTCCTGTCTGATATAGAACTAGCCCAGTCAGCATTTGTATACCCTACTATCTCAAGCGTTCCTCCACTTTGGTATAATAAACCACGACCTGGAGCACCCTTTAAGTACCTAACAATTCTCAGAACAGCTTCCCAGTGAGGAACCCGAGGATGTTGCATAAACTGACTCACCACACTCACAACAAATGATATATCTGGTCGGGTAATGGTCAGGTAGTTCAATTTTCCCACCAACCTTCTGTATCTTCCAGGATCATCAACACTCAACTTGGCATTGAGTTCCATAGTAGTCTCTGCTGGTTTAGCACCTAACAACCATGTTTCTTCAAGTAGATCAAGAACATATTTTCTCTGACATAGGTTGATCCCATGTTTTGACCTCGCAACCTCTATTCCCAGGAAATACTTCAGCTTCCCCAGATCTTTCGTATTGAAGTGGTCCTGTAAGAATTTCTTCAACCTGTCGATTCCCTTGCTATCACTCCCAGTTATGACAATATCATCCACGTACACGACTAGCAAGATTTTCCCATTCTTTGAGTTATAGCTGAACACAGAATGATCAACCTGACATTGTTTCATCCCAAAGGCTTTCACCACTTCACTGAACCTGCAAAACCAAGCACGTGGAGAATGTTTCAGTCCATAAATTGCCTTTTTGAGCCTACACACCTTGCCAGAGTCCCCTTGAGCAACAAACCCTAGTGGTTGCTCCATATACACCTCCTCAATGAGATCACCATGTAGGAAGGCATTTCTTATGTCAAGTTGTACAAGAGGCCAATCATACATAGCAGCTAACGAAATCAACACCCGAACTGAACCAATCTTAGCCACAGGAGAAAATGTCTCCATATAGTCCACACCATACAACTGAGAATAACCCTTGGCCACTAACCTCGCCTTCGATCGCTCCACACTGCCATCAGGAAGATACTTCACT